TATATATCTTCCACTTATATTTGTGTGTTTCACATATGCACTTTTGTTATTAGCGCTACATCATATATTGTGTTATTTACTTATAGATCATTAGGTATATGATTGGATGTTGGCAGTTTCATTAGTTGTTATTGTTTTAGAGATTTAGGTAGGAGCGCAGGAGGTTTTCACTCTCACGTATTGATGTGCCATCCTGGAGGAGTTGGACTGCCTGTGCAACCTCTGTAGAGTCCAGTTATCGCCTCATGCTACCAGTAGTAACACTGACCCTAGCCAAATACAAAACTAATGAAAAACAGTCAGAAAAGAGGAGTAGGGAAAAAAATGTCAGTGGCCTCCACGTAAAAACCATTCCTGTTTTGGGGATCATCTCATTGTTGCCCTCCTAGTGCACTTGTTGATGTTAATTTAATTAACACCAAAGCAGATGAAATTGATTAACAACCCCCTCTGCTACTTAACTGACCAGATCAATATCCCAGGAGCTTAGTTCACTTGATGCTATACTCTGATTAAAAAGTCTTCCTTTAATTTTTTTGAGCAGTGTATATTCCCCTTTGCAGTACAAAGTATGTATGTATAGCCTCTTAAAATCAAGCTTTAGCATTTGTTGCCACTAAACACACATGTAGATGTGTTTTACCACTGAATAAAATGTTTGTGAAGCATAAAAAACAAGTCTAAGTTTCTAATGAAAAAAGATGATGGCATTAGTTATTCTTTTGTTTATTGTTTTATCTACAACTCACTGATTGTGCTAACGCACCGCAAGCTGTAGATTTGATTTATTATAGGGGTTCCCTGAGACCTGAAGTTTGTTCTCAAGGGTTCATTGGGGTGAGCTTACTTATGGTGACAAGCCCATGGAGCATGCCTGTCCATTGTGCATGAGCAAGACTACTTGTAGTCTTCATCAGAAGCCTATGCAACAAGGTATAAAGCATTAAGAGATGGACCAGAGCAGTACCCTTGTGGCAAGTTAACCTGGATTTATTTCACTAAAATCTGCAGATTTAAAAACTTTGAGAATCAATTATGAAATGAAAGAATACATTTCCATCACACCATAGATCTTCAGAATAACATCTGTAGATTTAAAAATGTAAAGAATGACTTTGGAAATTAAAACATATACCACCAGCACACAGTGGATCTTTAGAATATCATTCAAAAAATTTATTAAAATGATCACATTACAGCAGCAAATTGTGACGTCTCAATGCAATTGCAGGACCCCTTCATTTTAATGCATTTTGGATGTTATGCTGAACCTCCATGACATGCTGGTGATATATGCTTTGACACCAGTTCCCAGCTGGTAGATGCTACAACACCCACTTGCTTCACGCCATTCCAGGAAGGCGTGTTAATGAAATATTCTACTTGAATTTCATTTTGAAACAAAACTGTTAAACCTTATCGAATTTAGTAACTGTGTTCACATATATTTTACGTTAGTCACAATAGGAGCAAAGAAAGATACCCCCCTCCCAAGCTGGCACTCACCATCCAACAGTTGTCTGTAAAGACTAACAGTTTGCATTTTTTTTCTTTTTGTTATTATTAAACACAATTGTAAAATAACTATCATTATAAAGTGATTTGTTTAATTTTAGCTGTAGTACAATTGTATCACTTTATAATTGTTTGCTTTTGTATTCTGCTTTTACTGTTTAAATTCATTGAAGCCTTTGACTAAGTATATAATATATAGAATGCATTATATAGGCACAGTCATTGGGCACCAGGGCCAGCTTATGAAAAAGAGTACAAAGCCTCAGGGCATATATTTGTTGTAAATAGCAGCAATGTGGTGTATCATAATCAATAAGCAAGGGATGAATTAAATGGGCAACTGAAATCAAATAGCATATTGATCTCAAGACCCAGTATTTATTAATCATTTCTGAAAATAATTTAACGGAGTGATGGAGAAAAAGAATGTTAAATGAGATTATATTTGTGTTAAATCACATCCTAAGAGGCTGTATCTACTTAAAGTGACTCTACAGTGTGTTTTTAATCGGCATACCATTGTGAATTGGGTACAGAAACTCTTCCAAGCCTTTACTTACCTTCTACACTGGCTAAATAGAAGTCAGAAATTGTTTTCCTATGGTCTCTGCTCCATGTGTGCCACATGGATAATGATTTTAACTTGCTTGTGAGATATTAAATAATATATTCATTTTAAGAGGAAAAAAATACCAACTTAATACAGCATGTATAAAGCTAATGACAGTATCCGCAAATGCATGTAAAATGCATGTAAACAGCTGATTGCTTATCAGATTTAACTACTTTTTGCCCAGCACCTTAAACCTATATGAACCCTCTTGAGGGCTTTTTTCTGATTTTGAGCATTTTGTAGATTGGCTGACAATTGCTGCTTTATTTTGCAGTCAACATGAGGGATCTTGATATTGTATTTGTGGACATAAATAGAACTTTCTTGAATAAACAGCAATTTTCTGTTGATTTCAAGAACATAAGATATGAGACAAGATACAGTGTTTGTTCTGAATTAAATGTTTTTTTTTTTTATTTTAAAAAATTATGTTGAAACTATATGTGTATTTATATATATATATATATATATATATATAAAAAAAAATATATATATATATATATATATATATATATATATAAAAACAATAGTGTATGCATTAGATATTGTTTACAAAGCTTTTTTCTAACACTATGACATAATAACATTTTGTCTTATGTATATGCGGTAAGTAGGTAGTGGTTCAATAAAATGTGTTATGCCATTCCTCCTTTACACCAGATTGGTATATCTTAGTTACTTGGTGGGAACATGGCAGAGCCCAGACACACAGGAGTGTATTCTGGTTCTCCATGGCAGAAAATTGTCATTTTTTGGCATCATACTGCATTTACATATTGCATTTACAGTGGCTCAAAAGTGGCATGATCCCAAAAAACTACCCAAAAATAACTATTTAGAAGAGCAGACCCCTCAAGGTTTTTAAGTAATAGGTATAACTTGGGCTTGATTTTTCAAAATGTATTTGCCAGCAAGATTAGGTACAAAACACCAGATACCCCTAGGAGCAGCGTTAAAACCCTGCCTGAGGCCTTATATCGTACGTTTATAAATAAAGATTTGTGTACTGACGTCTACATCACCAGAATGGACATTTGCATGGTTCTGTATTTTGACACCCCTTGCATTGATGTTTGTAGAATTATTTTTTGTTGCTTTCAAGTAGAGATGAGCATATAAGTCTGGTTTCAATTCACCAAGAGTTTGGTGAATCCTGTTTCAAGTCCAGCAAACTCACTAAGCAGTGAATCCCAGTCTATGAGGGGTGAATTTTGTTAGGAAATTTTGGACATGTTTTTGGGTCAATGGGCAAACTACTGTATAAAAAAATAATAAAAAAGGCACATAAATACCATACAACAGAAAGAGGGTATTTCCAAGTGGCTTTAAGGGCCACAAATCTTTTAAATACCATGTTTGTGAGATGACTTAAAGTTGTGATAAAAACATTTATCTTGGTCTCATCACCCCAGAGTACAGAGTTCTAGTAGTCTTCTTGTTTTTCAGCAAGGGCAAATTTCAGGTGGGCTTTTTTTATGAATGGGCTTTAGGAGAGGCTTCCTTTGTGGATGATACCCATGCATGCCATACTTCTGCTGTGTACGTTGTATTGTGTCCTGAGAAACAATCACTCTAGTTTGGCTTTTTACTTCTTTAGCTAACTACAGTGAACTTGCTTGGTGATTTCCATCAACCCTTATCAGAAGACGTTCCTGCCGAGGTGTTAACTTCCATGAACAGTTAACAAAGATGGAACTGCAACCATCTCGCAGAGACATCCAGGCTGTTCATGGAAGTTAATATGAACAGCCTGGATGTTTCTGTGAGATGGTTGCAGTTCCATCTTTGTTTAATTTTTGTATCACTTTTTCTACAGTACTTTGACTGACAAGTAAAGCTTTGCTGATTTTCTTGTTGCCTTCACCTTTCTTGTGTAAAGAAATTGTTTTCTTTCTCAGGCCTTGTGACACTTCTCTTCAACGTGCTGCCATTGCTGACAGCATGAAATGGGAAGGGGTTTTATTTCTTACGTAATGCCCTTTTATAATCAATCGTCTGCTGGATATCTCTTTAATGAATAATTAAACTCACCTGTAGTTGAATTCTTGTTAATTAGGATTTGGTTGTCTAAAATTTAGCTTTGCTCTTAGGACTTTCATTGGGGTTATTGTTGCAACATGGTCTTGAATACATTTGTTTGGAAAAATACTTTTTTTGTGTGTGAAAATTAGCAAATCTTGTTTGCAATCAATGGCCCGCATTTGTGAGAGTATTTTGTAGTATAGTGTGACATAGAAAATGTTGATTCTGAAAGGAAAGTAAAGGTTTTCTGACAAATCTGTTGGGGTGTACTCGTTTATACTGAGTACTGTATTTGTCTATGAAATTGGAGTTTTCTTTAACATTTGCCTTGATTTAGATACATCAGCACCCAAATCAGATTAATTTCAGTTAATAAAAAGTGTTTTTTTTCAAGTAGTTTTAGTAGGGACACATGCTTTTTCAGTAAGAGGTAATAGGCCTGCTTTGACTGGCATATAGAAATTGTTTATATGTTTGCTGATGTGGTCCCTGTTCTCACTAATGCAAAACTGTCCTGATATTGGCCAATTTCTATTAAACACTCACTATAAATAAGTAGACTGCTAATAATTGACCAGTAGCAGAACAATGTCAAATAGCAAGGGCAAATTTACTAGGAACAAATAGTGCAGGTTGGGGTTTTGCTATATACTAGAGACAAAAATTATTTAATTTATTTAACCACCTTCCGCCCGCCATATAGTACAATGATGGGCGCAAGGTGGTTCTCTCGTTCTGATAGGACGTCATATGATGTCCTTCCATTCTCACTGTGCATGTGCGGCTCAGGGAGTACGCAGCGCACCGATCGCCAGTGCACTGTGTCCCTCGGACACAGCGGATCACGGAAAGAGCCGAAGATGTCAGCTCGGTCATGTGATCAGCTGTGTCCAATCACAGCTGATCACATGTAAACATGGAAATGCCGGTTATCGGCATTTCTCTCCTCTCGAGCTGTCACGCTGACAGTTCGTGAGGAGAGGAGACCCAGTAATCGGCTTTACTCGGAGGGGACATGTACACTGATCTTCAGGGCACTGATGATCAGTGTGCCCTGATGATCAGTGTGACCCCAGAAGTGCCACCTGTCAATGTCCATCAGTGCCAGCAGTCAGTGCTCAGTGCCACGTGCCAGTGCCCATCAGTGCCACATCAATGCCACATATCAGTGTATACCAGTGCACATCACTGCCACATATCAGTGCCCATCTGAGCTGCCTTTCAATGTCACCCATCAGTGCCAGTCAGTGCCACCTATCAATGCCAATTAGTGTCACCTATCAGTGCCACCTATCAGTGCCCATCAGTGCTGCCTGTCAGTGCCAGTCAGTGCTGCCTATCAGTGCCAGTCAGTGCCGCCTATCAGTGCCAGTCAGTGCTGCCTATCAGTGCTGCCTATCAGTGCCTCCTATCAGTGTCATGTATCAGTGCTGCCTTTCAGTGCCCATCAGTGATGCCTGTCAATGCCCATCAGTGCAACCTACCAGTGCCTCCTCATCAGTGCCACCTATTAGTGTCCATCAGTGCAGCCTATCAGTGCCCAGCACTGCAGCCCATTAGCGCACATCAGTGAATGAGAAAAATCACTTATTTACGAAATTGTATAACAAAAACTAAGAAAAAACTTTTTTTTTTTTTTTTTTAATTTTCAGTGGTTTTTGGTTTGTTTAAGAAAAAATAAAAATCCCAGAGGTGATTAAATACCACCAAAAGAAAGCTCTATTTGTCTCAAAAAAATGATAAAAATTGCATATGGGTACAGTGTTGCATGATCGTGCAATTGTCATTCAAAGTGTGACAGTGCTGAAAGCTGGAAATTGGCCTGGGCAGGAAGGGGGTATAAGTGCCCTGTAGGCTAGTGGTTAATTTACTATGAGGACGGGGAGGGGGGTGTATGGAAAATGATTGATATAATATGAGGTTCAGTAACAGATGGTAAGTAAAAAGTGAATGCTTAGCTCTGAGCACCCCAGACTTAAAAAATGGTCCATTAACGTAAAATAAATTCAAAACCACCAAAAGATAAGAAAAATTCAAAATACTACCCTAAAACAAAAGCTAGATTTTTTAAAGGGAAACCTTGTTGCAAAAAAATATTTTCTGTGGACATTGATCCTCATTCTGCTGAAGAGCTACACCAAACAATGACACATTTAGTATCCAAAGCACTTTCTGCTTCCACAGCTGCATACCATTTTTTTTTACTAGGCCAAGTGGAATGACGTATGGTTAAAGCTAGTTGCTTGTAAGGGATGAGTAGAGCATAAATATTGATTCATAAGGTATCTGAGCTGATTATTCTATACCATTTGTAGAGGTATTCCTGTTCTCTGGCATGGCAATATACAGAAAGAGTTTTTTTCCACTTTGCTTTGTCTTTGAGTGCAAACAATTGACAATTTGAAGATTTTCCCAAACTGTTGTTAACTTCTCACATAAAAGGGTTCTTTTGCTAAAACTGTAGTAATATACAGACATACCATGGTGTCCATTGTCAGCTGAACTTCAAAAAGATATGGTGCAACTTTTTCTATAATCGTTAGGGTCCCTTTGGTTCAAAGTATGATGTAAGCAAAATGGACATGTGAGCACCTCAATGTTGTCATTAATTTCTGACCTGTAGAATATATATTGGACTCCATGTGTCCTTGATAAATATTAACTTTTAAGTACTCATTTTGGAACAACCAACCTATTACAGGTCAGATCATCAATAATAAACATTTATTCATGAATGTTTCAAAGCTGTCTGAGGACACAAATGCTTTGCCTTTGGCAAGCCATTTAGTATGGCATATTTCTTTGCTGTAAGCTGAGACTCATTAGCTGTGTGATCTTTCAGTTGTCTCATTTTCTTATCTGAAATGGGAAAGCAGGACATAATTAAATGCACTTGAGTTTCAAGTACTTCATCAATAGTGTTCTTGCCTTTGAGTGGTTGCCTGTTTAGGGTATTAACAACTAATTCATGTTCCCAGTTTTGTCATACTTTATAAATATAGTTTATATAATATATATATATCTATATATATATATATATATATATATATATATATTATATATATATATATATCAGTGACTTAAATACATTAATTAATTGTTTCATTCCTGCAACAATACAGTTCTAAGGCTTTTTTTCTGAGACATCAGCCTGAATTGCCACTTTTGCCATAGAATGCTAAGATTTCAGAAGTAACAATAAATTGTTTTGTCAAATGCATTATTCTTTTGAGATTTCCTTTGAAAGATAGGGCTTTTCTTTAAGAGTTTTCTTACTAAGGATAAAATAAATAAATAAATACATAAAGAAGAGTTATTTTTTTTCAGGTAACTTTTTCAAGCTCTGACTGATTTTCAGATTGTCTCATGCCAGTTCTTAGAAAAAGATCAGCACCTTGAATTATTCATTTCTCTTATACTTTGGGGGATTTTGTTCCAAATACAGTTCGGTCATGAATTATTTCATAAATATCAATGAAAGAACAATCCCTGACTGCTAGTTTTAGGCCTGTCATAAACTGACTAGTCAGTTCACTTTGCACTCTGTTGTAGAATTTGTATCTGGTAAAACTTGGGCTTGCTTTTAAAGTTACATAATCATTGTATCACTGAACTGCTTGCCCTCTTCTTCAGGCATGTCTCCTGATGTGTCATAAATGTCCTTGCTTTTCTCCTCAACCAGTTATAGCAAATAACACATTTCCTTCTCATGACTTTTATTCAAAGGATCATTCAAGATAGGATCACCATGGTATTTAAATCTTTTCCATTCTCTGACATGTTTACACTGTACCAATACATGCTGGGTGTATGTATGCCACAAAACGCTACTTTCTGTTAGAGTGGAATTGACCTGGTAAAAAAATTGTAATTTAATCATGTTGAAATAAAGGGATGTTGCGGTGCTTGCAAATATCTGAGTTCATATCAGTCCTTGTGTCAGTTCTTGGATTCTAGGTCTAGGCTGTACATTGGGCCTTGACTTTTACCAGTTGAGATTAAATGGGAACTTAAGTTCTGCTATTGTTTTTTTTTTCATAACGTTTTATTAGGAACAAGGAAACAGTACAAGTCAAAAGCACAGCATAAGGGAATATTGTATGTATCACAATGGTCAACACGTACAGAAAGGCACACACTTTTAAGCAACACGATTAATCCGAAACCCACAATCAGTGCATACTGTGAAGAGAGAATACAGACTTCGAGCGAGTACGTCCAAAGTAAGGGAGGGGTTGTTCCAAACCACGGTTTGGATGGAGGGCTCTCCATGAGCTGTCTATCTGATCTGAAAACATAAAAATCTAAAATCGTTAGACAGTGGGGCGTGGCATGAAATCACATAGGTCTATGTAGGAGGGAATTGTGGGCCGGGATATTCTAGTAGCTTTTAAGCAGATCAAGGGGTACGTATCTTATTTTTGAGGTTGATATGTGCGCCTAACAGTACCAATCTGAGGAAGCCTAAGAGAATGTGTATGGGAGAATGCTAATGATGGTGTGATTCATGGGAGAGGAAAAAGAATAGAACAAAGTTGGGGAATAGCAAAGAAGGGGGGAGGGGGGGAAGGATCACGTGCAGGAGGTGACTAGGAGAGGGGTAGGGGCAGAAGGAAGAGGTGGAGGAAGGGGAGGGGTGGGAAACAGGGGGAGGAGGATGAGGAGGGGGGAGGGAGAAAGAGCGAAAAACAAACAAATTAAACAAAAAGAAAAGGGGGGAACAACCCAAGGGGGTCGGAACTGGGATCAGGTCATAAAGGGCCTGACAAGAAGGCAAGTCGCACTTCTATTATCTAAAAATGAAGAGAAGAGAATATCGCTTTGCTCCGGTGGGGGGGGGGGGGGTCAGGTCAATCAATCAGTGTACTGTTGTTTGCTACAAGCAGGAAGGTTTTTTTTTTTTCGGAATTGCAGTAGAGACATGAAATGTCTCTTCTGAAATAGAATACAGTTACCTGCCTGTTTGCAGCATCCCCTAGCATGTAAACTGTAATGTGCACCAGCCTGATCCCTGTGTGCCAGAATGACATGCACAGGAGTGACATCATCCCATGCTGGAACTGATTGAAAATTGGCACACAGGAGAAGATGCTGGCACCAGCAAGGTAGAGAACAATTGGAGCAAAGGTTAGCATAAACTGCCTTTAGTTCTACTTTAAGCCCCAATCTTTCCTGGACGTGAGGTCTGCCCATTTCTTTTCAACTTGAGATCCATTTTACAGCATGGGCCTTGTGACCATGGGACCTCTACAGGGACACATAGAAATTTTTGAAGATTACCAGGCATTGTTTACAGGTACCATGAAGTTCCTGCACTTTATCTCTGTCATTAACTTAGAAACATTTTAGGCCAGGACAGGTTCAGTAAATACACAACTGCATCAGAATTGTGTATTTTTCATCCAGAACATCAACAAAACTAAATGGCTGCAGTCCCACCCCTAGCAATCAATTACAAACATAAAGATTATACACTGTTATGGTGACATCTGTGTTCACCTTGGTTACATCAATTACCCCAGTTTTAACATATTTAGTAGAAAAAATGGCACAGGGGACATAGATCCATTTCTGCTATTGGAAACAATGAGTAGGTGGTCTTTATGATTAGATGAGAATCATGTAGCACAGCACATTGGGACAGGGGATATGTGTTTACCCATTTTCGAGGGTGCCGAAAAATACTGATCCCATTGACTGAAACATATATTGTTGAATGTTCTGTGGTAGATGTGTTCTGCTACTTTATGCAGCACTAAGTGTTCTCTTGTCTAGGGTCATTAAAACCTTAAACACCCAGGTTGTTAGCCTTTTACTGTTATACTGTTGAAAGGTTTTCATCGACAAGCTTTCTATGCTGTGCAACTCATAGCAGCATACTAAAATGTGGTGACAATTTGGGTTTTATCTGTAGATTTGTTCCTGCATCTCCATAAATGTTTCTGCATTCAGTCCACATGGATAATTTTCAGCCTTCCATACAATTTTTTTTCCATAATCCACATTCTAAAGCAAAATTTTGTTCTTGAAGTATTGTGAACCAGCTGTTGTCAATAAGCTGAAACCAGTAGAGATTAAGTATACTCTATTCACATTACACTGTAAAATCTGTTTTTAATTAAATCTCTGCGAAAACAAATGCAGAATAATGTCCCAGTGGAGAACACAAATAGACATTCTTTTTTATTTCCCAGATAACATTTCCTCTAGAACCGCGCAGGACGTCACATTTTAAGGGCTAAAATAATTGTTAGCTTTTCTAAGAATAGTGGGGGTGACATGTCATAATTTGTTTCTCACATTCATTTCTTTGTGTGTTGTGAGCTTTGCAATCAGTACAATCGCACAAAATACTTATGTTACAGTTT